AGTGTGGAACCAGATCAAAGTAATACCAAGGACATATTAGTAATAACGGATCATTTTACTAAGTATGCCCTTGCAATACCAACGCCAAACCAAAAGGCGACTACCGTGGCTAAGTGTCTGTGGGAACATTTTATATCACATTATGGGTTCCCTGAAAAACTCCATAGTGATCAGGGCCCCGATTTTGAGTCCCGTACCATTAAGGAGCTGTGTGAAATGGCAGGAATCCGGAAGACACGGACAACCCCGTACCATCCAAGGGGTAACCCTGTTGAGCGTTTTAACAGAACGCTGCTGCAGATGCTAGGCACTCTAAATAATAAGGACAAGTCACGTTGGAGGGACTATGTTAAGCCTCTTGTGCATGCATACAACTGCACAAAGCATGAAGCCACAGGGTTTGCACCTTATGAGCTTATGTTCGGGAGACAACCAAGACTCCCTGTGGACTTAGCTTTCGGGCTTCCTGTTGATCCTCTGCCATTGTCTCATTCACAGTATGTGCAAGGCCTGAAGAACCGCCTGAAAGAGAGTTATGAGCTTTCGAGCAGAAATGCTAAGAAATCTGCAGATCGTAACAAAACTAGGTTCGACCAGAGAGTTACAGGGTCTAGCCTTGAACCAGGGGATCGAGTGCTAGTTCGAAATGTGAGACTGAGGGGAAAGCACAAGCTAGCAGACAAATGGGAGGCAGATGTGTATGTAGTTGTGTCACATGCTAATGACCTTCCCGTGTATACAGTGCGGCCTGAGGCTGGAAATGGTCCTTTGCGCACTTTACACAGGGACCTCCTGTTGCCCTGTGGGTTTCTGCCCGTAAGTGCTCCTGAAACCCCAGTACCGCCAACAGTGCGAAGGCCAAGAACCCGTCAAAACCCAGGTCATGTAAACGAATGCTTTGATGATGTCATGTCAGACGAAGAAGAAGTGTATCCTTCAAGGGTTGTACTTTTGGATCCAGCTGCCTCCAACCTAATGCCCAAGGTTGATCACGTTTCATCCGACATTCCACCAGAGCAGCACGCTACTGACAATGTGATCCCTCTTAGCAGAGTGGTTGTTCCCGGAGCAGTTTCAGATGAAATTGAGGTGGAAATTCCCATAGAAGCAGGGGAGGAGTCCCCAGCCGCAAGCTCACCTCAGGTCAGCTTTCTTGACCGTGAAGAACCAGGAAGAACGGGAGGTGATGAAAGTGAATCTTCTGGGAAGGATAGTGAGATTTCAGTGCCCCTCATTTCACCTGTTGGGCAATCTCAGCTGCTTGACATTGAAGGTACACAAGATGTTCCTGAAACTGATGACATAGCTAATTTAACCCACATAAAAGAGCCATCAGAGGGGTTAGATGAGGCTGTCAGATGTTCAAACAGGCAGCGAAGTCGACCAAAGAGACTCCATTATACTGAACTTGGAAACCCTTTAATAGAGGTGGTTCAGTCACTTTTTCACGGTCTGGGTGCTGCTATAATAAGGTCAATGGATGCTGCAGAACCGTTGTGGTACAATCAAACCACCATCCCTCCTGTCGATCCAGTAACAACACAGCCGCAGAGAAGGTGCACGGGGACGTGCCACCCTTCAGTGGGGGAGGGTGTAACCCTGGAGAGTTACTAAGGGGTTTTAGTGTGTTATGAGTGATGTTAGTATTTTGAGTTCACTGTTAAGTTTTATTAAGTTAAATTATTTTGTTGAGAATTAATAAAATAGAAGATGTCTATAATGTCCTGATGGTCCTTGAAGTATACAGGGGGAAGTACCGCCTCCTGCCGTTCACTGCGTAGCAGTTACGGATATCAGGAGAGAGGGAGAGGAAGAAAAGTCCGTTTTTCCAAGTGGAAAGCGTGGTTGTTTTTATCCTGTACGGTGGAAATAAGCTATCTAGGAATTGTTGTTACCCAGAAAGGAGTTTGTTACTGCTCGGATTCTTCTGGGTGAGTTAATTTGTTGTGAACAAGAATATTGTGAGTTTAAGCCACTAACGATGACATGCTAGCGGCTATCGCGGCTATTGCTATTAGCCATGTGGCTGTACATGTGTGATTGTGAGGATTATACTGTATGTTAGAGTTTGTTAGCTTCCTATGACGATGCATTTAAAGATTGTAAGTCATATGTATGCTGTAGATGTTGATATGTTCCTATATCAATCCTTAATTGTGTTCATTGTGAGGTGAATACAGTTTAAAGAAAATGGGGTTATGTTTCTTTGTAGTTGTGCTACAACGCTTCACCATCGCCATTTTGAAGCTCCAGGAGAGTCCATTTTATTGGTTACTTTGGTAAGAAGTTATCATTGTCTATGTTTTGGAATATTCTGTCGTTCTTTCTGTATACTGGAAAGGTAAAATGCAAATTTGTTAGTATGTATGAACGAAACATAAGAAAGGATATATGTCTAAATGACTAAATATAGATTTTTGAATGTTATTCTGACTGTGTTATACAGGTCAGGTTTTTTACTTGGGAGTACAGTTCAGTGATGATCCAGTCCAAAGATGGCGAGCCACCCTTCCAGGATCCTTGAGATGATTGCTTTAAGAAGAGAACTAAATTCTTTGGACGAACTGTGAACTGTACAAACTCTACTTAAGTGGTAGGACAGATTTGCACCTCATTCCTCCTTTGCACACCCTGCAAGGAGAATCCTCATTGCTGGACTCACACTTAAGGGTGTCGGCTGACACGAGAGAGAGACTGAGTCAAATCCCCCGGGGTTGTGTGTGTTTTGTTTATTATTTTCCATGACTTGGGCCCAATTTTTCCTTTCATGTACTGTTATTGTTTTCATTGTATGTATGTAAGATTCTTTAATTGTGAATACAAATTGATCAAACCAAGTTCTCAGAGCGTTTCATTAGTCATCCACTGCTCCAGTAGTCGAACCTCAGCTATTGGCCCAACACACAGGTGACCATTTAAATCTGTATCCCAAGTGTTGAAAGGGGTGTTACTATAGGACAGGAAAATGTATGTTTTATCATCCTGCCTTTCTTTATATAATTCAGGCACTTTGCACATGAGTAGTGATCTCGTGTGATAACACATATATTGTAAAAAAAAAAATCAATTAAATTATTTATCTAGGAAACACGTAAAACTCAAAATCCAACCCTTCACAAATTTTCATCTGGCCCACCTTTTAGTTTATGTACAAGCTAACAACCTTAACCTATATCACAAAGATGCAAATCCAATGCTGAAGATAGACAGTTGTGTAGTACAACAGATGTCTTCGCTGAGCATAAAGAGAGGACCATGTGCATCCATTTCCCAAGAAACAATCTCATATACTTCTATTGTCATTTTGAAACCACATGCCAGCAAAGTTACAGAGCCATGTAGAGAGTATAGAGGCTTCAAAAAGTCACTGCCTAAAAAGAGGCAGGCAGCTACAAAAATGTGATTTTACAAGCCAAATCCCAAAGTGATGGAGCTGTAAAGGCAAGCTTCATAATAGAAAATACAAGCCCATTAGTGGAGGATATTCACACGCAGCTACTGAGCTGTCATGTCGAGGTCTGTGAAAAAGACAATACTACACTTGTAAAAATATGTGCACAAAAAAAGGTTAAATTATTTTGCTTTTATCAGGATGTCTCTTCCTTATTAAGTGACTCACACCAGAATGTAGTTTGTTTGACTAAACAAATGATGGTTAGGCAACATGTGGAAGTTTTAGGGGCTTTCTGTGGAACAATTTATGTATAAGAAAGCTCTACGGGACATAAACAACAATATAATTCAGGATATTTTTTATTATTTTTGATTAAATAAAACCATGTTAGTGCTCTCATTTCCCAGGCTGGTCCTAGTGAAATTGAGTTTGATACCCCTGCTTTACAAACATCAGCATGCTGACTGAAGTATACAACTCAGACAGCTGGGAGGTTGAGTTTTGTTGTAGCTTTGTTTTAACCTTATGTGATGAGACGTTTCCTCAGCACCATCATCATATCGGATCATGATTTATGTCCTCAGAGTTCTTGGTTTAAATCACTAACAGATGATAGCTAAAGCTATGGCCTGTAAAAACTTTATTTATTTTATTTTTTATTCTTTTGTGAAAAGCATCAGGCCTAGCACAGAACCCTGTGGATCTCCATGATCATCTGTGTGTGAGGAAGACTCATTAGTTATATGAACAAATAAGGATTTATTGGATAAGCGTGACTGAAACCAGGACAATGCATTTCCTTTAATGTCTAGTGTCATAGTAGTTATTCTCAAAGCTAATGCCAAGAAAAACAAACTGAATAAAGATCAGCCGTTTCTAAAGCTGCTCTACTTGATCATACATCTGCCAGCTCTGTATGGAGGCTAGGTTTTTTCTTCTTTTCTTACTGGTCAGAGCTCATTAAGTCATTACTACTGATAGTAGGGATACAAGGTTCAAGAGGACTGTGATGAACAGAGCTGTGCTATTCCCTCAGGTCTATTTTTATGTTCTGTTTCTGTTTGCTTTCTCTAAGCCAATCAGCTCCCACTCCTTGTTCTTTAAATCCCGCCTTGAAAATCATCATACATCCCTTCTCTTCCTCTCCATCTCCACCTCATTTGTAATGTCCAAGACGTCTCATTCAAAATCTCCATCAGCCATCTGCTTACTCTGCTCCACCACCAGCTTCAAGGCTCCAGGGGGTCCTGTCACTGTCTCCTACTGTCACTGGACTCTGCTTTATGATGTCACTTCTAATCAGTCTAACTGCCAAAACACTTCAGTTTGCATGGTCCATTTCTGCTTATTGTGCTTGCACTACACTCTGAAACAATTATGACACAATTTTTAATTAACATGTCACAGGCAAGTTTTCAAGTATTTTGGGGGGTTTGTTTAGACTATTTGCACACACACACACACACACACAAAATCTGTAGGCAAACAGTTAACTGTTAACTAATGAACATATAATCATTGCTATCACCTGAGTAACATCATGCATTTTTTTAACCTCAGATCAATACAAGTCACGTAGGTAAAAAACATTTAGAGTGAGTGATACCTTTTGTGTTTGTCAGTGGTGAGACTTTTCTTGTTGGCAGTTCCATCTTGTTGCAGAGCCTTTTCTAGTGAAAGTGGCGTGTCCCGTATTTGTAGAGACATCACTAAGGTATCCTGACTGACAGGCAGTGTTTCCTCATCTCCTCCTTGTTGGCCAAGGTGCTGTTTGGCATAGTCAAAACCTTGGACTGGCTGATAGACAAGTTGGGTGAAAATGCAGAGTGACAAAAAGTATAGCTGAAGTGAGAGTGATTTCTTTATCACATACCTCTTGTCAAAAAAAACTAACCATTTCAAGCAACACAGAACTATGCTGCCCAGAACGAGTGTTACAAATATCTCAGTATAGCTAAAATACACAGTGAATATTTTGATGTCCAAAGGATTTAGGAAAAAGAAGTGGGGATTACTGCACCGCTGCGCCTTTAAAAAAGATAAGCACAGATTTAACTGAGGCCCTTTTTCATGTTCTTCCAAATTCTTGTCAAATAAATGACTTGCAGTGGGCGGTGACAAAAATGGGATTTGCAGACTTTTACAGAAATACAGCAATAAAGTTATATATTAAAAAATATTTGAGGACAAGCGAGGAAAGGTACAGGCTTCTACCTAACACTTGAAGCCAATATACTAAAAAAAAAAAAAAACAGTAGTAGCCAAAATACTTCAGACCCACTCACTAATACATACACATACGTTAAAATATTTAGGACCGCTCCCATCACGGTGTCATAAATTGTCAGACACACATCACTGCCTCAAAGTAACCCAGACATGGTGCAAAATCACAAAGTGTGACACTGCTGTGAACATTCATCCTCTCTCTGCTGATAGAGCACACACACACACACACACACACACACACACACACACACACACACACACACACACACACACACAGAGAGAGAGAGAGAGAGAAACGATTTTCACTGAATCCTGTCTTCTCACTAACTGAAACCCCTCCTGTTGCTGGTTTCAAAAGAGAAAACTCTAACAAGGGTGTGTGATGAAACGAGTTGGCTGGCTGACGCTGAGTAATGTAGAAGAGCTAGCACAAGAGACTCATTTAAATTTTACCTATTTGAAGCTATCTTTGAGCAACTGAGGGTTTTTACATTACTTATTAGAAGGAATCGGATATTCTTTCACTAAAGATTTTTCATAACATTGAGTATTTCATATTTTATAGAATTTAGCTGGTATGGTGGGGTTTTTTACATCATGCAAGACCTGTGTGTACAATTGGCGCTCTGAAAGCAGTGCTGAAGTTGCTTTTGCAGTCTAATACGAAGACTTTATTGCTTTCTCACTAATGAAAGTTCATAAATAAGACAGTGGGATACGCTGAGTTATACTTTGCATCTTCATGTATCTACAGTGATGTATGTCAGTAAACTACTGAGTCCAAAAATGACACTCATGCAGCTGGAGATATTAGGTAATTACAGAAACTCTGAATGGAGCAATAACTAAACCACTTTTCCATTTTCTCTACACAAACTAAGCAATTGTGAGCATACACACAAACAAAAGCGCTCATTCTGCTGGTAAACCATTCTTTGCAAGCCTTAGTCTTTCAGTTTTGTCATGTGGTGACTGCTATACTGTAACAAGTACAGGCAATGCCATTCTTTTATCTACGGAAATCTCATTGTTGCAGGTTTGATAGTCAGAATTCCTGTTGTATCCTTAGTTTCCATCAGCACAGCAGGATTTATTACAATATATAATAGCTGCTGTCTGCCCAAAATCCCATTCAAATCCCACTGCTGGCACAGCTGAGCCTTGAAAATGAAAACACAGATCAGTAATGAGGAGGAATACAGAGAAATAGATACCTGGTGATAATAGCCCACATCTCTCCGGTACGCCATCTAAAAGCCAGAGAAAATGTTTTAAACATTATATGTGTGATTTGGGTTTGTGTTCAGAATTGACTAGGATTCTGCTAATGCGTTAAAAGAGGGCACTGAAACGGGATAACGCAGATACTGTGGAATAAAATACAGAAAACACAAAATCCGAAAGAATAACAAACAAAACATCGCTAACATATCCCAGCATCACTGACCCTGATCACGCAATGACAGATGGCAGACATCACACAATCTGTAGTCTGTAGCTACTAAATAAAGTGACAGACAGTACATCTCTTAATGTTCTATCAGGAAAAAAAAGACCCTGAACTCAAGGTCTTCACGTCTTTGTCTAGCCAAGAATCCAAGCCTTCAAATTAAGACAAGCAGCAAATGGTCACGAAGCCTGAAAATATATTTAAACAATGAATTGATTACCAAAATATAGCTCAGTACATGAATAAGATAAATACCTTAGCTCGAGGGTTAAGGTTACCGATGGCATCCGCTTTGAAGTCATTCTTATTCTTCCTGCACAGCACAGCTGTGATGATGATAATAATGAGTGTTACTACGGAGATCGGGGCCAAAACAGCAGCGATTATCCAAAGGTTATTAGGAGGGTTCTTGACGACAGCTGAAAAAAATTTAAATAAGTTGTTGTTTTATTTTTTGTTGTTTCTTTGTTTTGTTTTTTTGTTTGTTTGTTTTTTACCTGTCATTACTTTATGACATCCAGTAGGCTCTAAATGATAACCATTTGTCCTTTGATTTGCTCATTAAAATATAATGAAGTCCTCAGCATGTTGTATTGACAAAACATGAAGAATCATTCATTACACTGCAGCACTGCATACAGCTCAAGCTGACATACACTGCGCCTCATTCAGCTATTGCAGGCGACAATCCAATGCATAGGAGAATGCTGCATGCCCCCTCCCACACCTGCCACCCACAAACTCTGTCTCACCCTTTTTTCCCCCCTTGTCTCTTCTCTTAGCAGCAAGCTGCACTGTAGCCCAAACAAACAATGTCCCGCTGGGAGCATTTCAGAGAGATTAGACAGCAAAGAGCTTTCTCAACCTTTTCTTCTATGTCTCTCACCACAACACCAGCTTTTCTTTTCCAAACTCGGCATGAATCATGTGTTTTGGTTCACCTGTCTCTGTGTTTGTGTCACTTTTCCTAGCTGTCAAATGCTAGAAGGATGCTTTGCTTACGTTCTGCTTGCACCTGGACAAAGTAGCCCAGGGTGAGCGCCATAGTCTGAGAATCCACTGTGTTCAGGACCTTGGCAGCTGATGTGCCCAATAAAGGAATGCCATTGTGTTGGACATAGTAGGTCATCTCGGCCGGATTCTTCAACCCTGAGATCCGGCGGATGCTCACCATCTGATTGGGTATGAAAAGGGATGTGTGTGTGTGTGTGAACTGCTGTACAATCAGCATAAACCTATTCAACGGCTATTACAATGTCTTATGCACCAACTTTAATTTCACAAAATACAACAAAAATAAAATCATGCATTTAGGAGAGTTTCTTAAGATGAAAAACTGTATGAAAAAAGAAAGGACTTGTTGGGTAAAATATTCAACCTCTGACTTGTTTTGATGAGCAATTACCACATGATGAGCAGAGAAGCTACCTAATTATCAGGGGTTGACCACAAATAATCGTGCAAGCATGTGCAGAAGTGCGTATCAAAGTGTATCAAATATTCATACTGTTGGGAGAAAAAAGCCCACGAAACAAATTTGACTAATCTGACTTCTGACATGCCAAGGCAGTCAGGCAAAACATCAGAATAAGAATCTTAGATGACTGGCATTCCCTACAGGCTGCAGTGCCAGTTTCTTACCTGGACAGTGTAGCTGCCTACAGTCGTTGCTCGTCTAAAACGAGTGCCCTGCTGGCCCGCCAACACAAACAACTCTGCCAGGCGCTGTTCCATTAGACTGGCGAAGCTTTGGTACTGTCCCTCCAGGCTGGCATTATCCACATCCTGGATCACTGCAAATGTAGTTGAAATAAAGAGGATGGCCAGATTGTTGTGAAGAGAAAAAAAATACATGGTTGGCAAGGGCAGAAAGGAGTACAAGAGAAAAGACAGAGGCACAGTTGGAAATGTGTGTGTCTGTGTGTGTGCGGGTTGTAATATAGTGTAGCTTGCTTCGGAATTCAATTCAGCTTTCATTATTGGCATGACCATACTTAGTTAAAGTGCTGCCAAAGCACTGTTAATTCTGATATGAACTTATGAGACATTCAGAACCTTATTATAAATAGGAAAAAGCAGAAAAGCTATAATTCTGGTTGGATCTCATCTTCAGTGTGGGGCTGACTTTCAACTATTCAAAGTGTCACTGGAGTAGGTGTAGAGCAACAGATTGTGATCTGAAAGACTCGTTCAGTTTGACAACTTAGAGATATACAACAACCAATGAGCCACAACATTAAAACCCCTGACAGCTGTCGCAAATACTATTGACCGTCTCATTATAATGAAATGTTCTGCTCGGACAACCAGGGTTCTGCTCCCTCCCTCCAAGCAGAACATTACACCCTTGCACGCTGATATACTTGATCAGGAAAGGCTTTAGAAAATCAACAATATGTGCATTGTCAAAGCCTCCAAACTCTCCTAAATCCCAATCAGATAGAGCGTCTGCAGAACGTACTGGAATTACCCCAATTAATGGATGCCCCACCCACAGCAACCCACAGAGCACAAAGGATCTGTTGCTAAACACCATACATGGCATGCCCACATCCCAACAGATACAGTAACAGCTGTTTTAGCACTATAGTGAAAATCTGCACAACATTAAGCAGGTTGTTTTAATTGTGAGGCTGATCAGTGTATTGCTCCTCAGCCAATTTAGTCATTTAAAAACACCCACATTGAAAACATTTACTAGGACTCATTTTGTACTTTATTTCTCCTCTGGAATGAGACAGTTCATCAGTTCATTTCTTAAAGTTCCCAATGAATATTTTCAAAACTGTAGAAGTAGAATGTTCCAGGATGTCGTTGGAGGACTGGGAATTGGTTGCATTTGAATACTGGTCATAGGTAAATGGCGACTCATAAGTAAATAATCCACTCACAAAGCAAGAGCAAAGCTCTGATTTTAGCAGTCAGTAAGCAATGATATCCCTACCTGTAACAACCCAGAAGTCTCTGGTTGCTATTGAAGTGTTCAGATTGTGATATTCCATTGCTGTAATGACAACAAAAAAGTTGAAAGCAAAGTTAATACCAATATACGATTTCCACACAGTAGTGTAGCCTACATTTGCCTTTGCACGCTGAGATTTTACAATGAATGCTCAGTTGCACAATTGTATATGACCTGAATATAATCAACAATGCAAAAAAAGCTCAACATATATTGATGCAAGTGTGAATGTATCATTTTGGTGGTGTTAATTTGAGCCGAACATACCAACACTTTTGAAACCTTTCAAGAAAAATGTACAGTAAGCCGTTGAAGGTTTGGCACATTTTGTGTGTTGATATCTCACTTTAAAGCCTCATTATCACTGATAGTCAGACAAATACAGAAGCAAGGGAAGCTTTAAGCAGTCTGAGCTCTGGTTGTCTCTGTGTTCTCTTACATCTATTTCCTGCCTGATTAAGCTGTTGTGCTAGAGACTGGTGCAGTGTTTTGGGGAATGCTGTATCAGTGGTCTGTGAAAGCACACTCACAGAACTGTACACTCAGGCATGACAGGAGAGACGGGTGGGGGAGAAGGGTGAGAGGAATAGTAAGGGCTTTAGCAACAATAATGGATAGGGCTGAAAGGCTGTCAGCAAAATCAGTTCAGCGCTGTCTATAAGCTTCAGTCATTTGAACTATTAATCAGCAAGGTTTAGCAAGCTTTTGCGTGAACCCCTGCTGTTTTCTGATGAGAACGTTGAAAATCCCAAATGCTCTCCAGCAAAAGCTATTATTAATTTTCTCTACTTTGTACCTTCACATGTTGAAAAGTTAAATGATCTAGTCTAAAATGGTAACATTTCCAAATAGCTTCAGTCATTACATTTGAGAGAGGTTGTCGCAAATCAGGGGGTGTAAAAGAGCTGAGCTCAGCAGTCCAGACTGCACGTTGGAACGTATGAGATCGCGGGCCTTTGCTGTCAGAGCAGAGCCTAAGGTGGCATGAGAATCCCCCACAGTTAATTATTTACTGCAATAATTGGCTTTGAAGTGAGGAGGCAGCCGCTGCTGGCATATGCTTGCACCTCCTGTGAGCAGTGTAATATCACTAACTGTGAGGCTACAAAACAAACAAAATCACTGTTACACACTTCTGTCTTTAACCCCACTGTCTCTCTGGCATTTTCCTCCATGTCAGTATCTGCTCCCTCTGTCTCTTCTTTTTACCGAGATTGCCTTCCTCTCTTTCTGTGCTCAGCAACTGAAACAATATGCCTGTAGGCAACTTGATTTTCTAACTTAATTCAGGCTCAACACAAAGTGGTTTTTAGTTTAATGCTCACTACTGGAAATCCTATCTATCTTGATTTCAACAATGTGAAACCCAAGACTGCTATCTATCCTCAGAGGCACTTAGGTCAGATCCCAGATTTGTCAGATTGGAAGACGCAAACCAAATGTAAAATATTTAATCTTAGATTGTTTTCTTTCTTCTGCACAGGACACACCAGGCTACGAGCAGGGAAACTGCTCTTTCTAGACAGGCACGTAGATGCTTTTGAAACATAAGATCTTCATTTAGTATTTTTAACTGTTAGAGGTAGTACCCCATTTTGTTTTGTCTCAGCAGCACAACCTTTGGACCATCTTACTTCTTAAAATTCAGTTTTAGAGGCTTTTCTCCTTCCCAGTACATAGGAAGTACTATCTTGATTAGGCTAACATGAGTGCAACACTGTTCACACTCTAGATATTATATATAGCTTTATTGAGCTCATATGGGATGGAGAAAATGCAACTATCTTTGACTCATGACTCCGAAATCTCATATATTTTGATAACAATTTCCTTTAACTTGTTACTAAACTTAAACCATACAGAAAATTGATGTGGACTGAAAATATAGAGGCTATAAAAGGATTCAAAGAAATAAGAAAATCCACAAGAAAAGATGAGGATTCATTACAGTCACTGGCATGCTATTAAATTACTTCCTATTGGTGATGTGAATGGAAAACATTATTACCACTATTTGACAAACATTAACACTCAGTTCTGAATCTTTCTAAGATCCAAACAAGTTGAGTCTAAAGGTTAGAAAATCTGTTTGGTCTCTTCTCACAATGTCCTTAGCAACAACAGAACATGAAGAAGACTAAAAGTTAAAACTAAGACTGAACTCAGGCAGAGGTTATTGCAAGGAAGCCTATAGTCCTATATAAAGTATCAGCTCTGGTGTGATCCTGACCATGACCATGTCCAAGTCCAATGATTAACAATTTCTCAAACTGACCACAGTCTAGAAATATTCAAGCACTGAACCTGGTTAGAAACTTTTGCAATCAAGCTGGGAGTCTTGTTTCTGCTTGAATAGAAAGCTAACCGGAGGTGCAGTTTCAACACATCAGCCTCTTTAAATCCACAGCTTGTCCCGTGGCTTCCTCTGTATTCCTGAAGTCTGCTTGACCCAGTGAGTCTTTAAATAGAATCTCTCCAGACCTGTTTGAGCTATATAACAGGTTTGCTTACACTGGATTACATAATGCAAGACACTAAGGCCCATTTTGCACATATAATGTTTAAGATAATAATGCTACTGGTAAAGCATGAGCAGGACATCACTGCTCTCAGTGTCTGCACAGGATGCCTTCAGGTTAGGAAACACACCTTTTGTATGAACTTGTAATGAGCAAAACGTAACTCCGACAAGGACGAGAGAAAAAACTGAAAAAGTGCCTCGCTGTATGACTGCTGAATACGAAAGATCATTTCCTCTTCCATGCATTTGGCTATTATCTGCAGGGGTTTCAAGCAAAATGTGTGATGTAATATGACAGGTTGACTTCAGGGTACATGATAGATTATATCTAGCTGTTGCTGACTTGCTTCTTCTGGTTAACACATTCTGAAGGTCCCATTGCTTTTGTTTACACAAACTGCAGCGCATCAAGGAAGCACAAATCCAGAAGCCATTATGTGAAGTGTTGCTGATGATAGACATAGACTGAAGCACAAAAAATCTCCAGGCGATTTCTGGGTAAAATCCTGTTTGTGTGTGCGTGTGTGTATCAGAGTAGTTCTGTTGCTGAACCTTTATTGTACATTTATGTGAACCGGGTCAAGCAAAACAACACAATCCCTCCTTTAGGGATTAATAACGTACCATAAAAATAAGTCTCATTATATTGCATGCATCTGAGGTCCATGTCGACCATATCTCCATCCACTGAGCAGTTACACAAGGGATAGTAACAGGCTGCCATAGGACGCTACTGGGATTGCTGTTTAGACTCCTGCTGATTCCCTGTCACTCTTTATTTTATTCCAAGTACAATGCTAACACAGATGGATGCTGACTATGCCCTCAAAGGAGGCTGAGATGAAAGGCAGAGGCTTAGTTGTGTCTTTTCATCAACTTTCTTTAAATGACTCAAATGTAAAATTGTGATTGTAATAGCATAAGAACAGTCAAAAACATCCAATTACTGAAAAACTGGATGTCAGTCAGGCTTAGCAAAGAAATTTATGACTTTTGCCAATGCCTAGAGAAGCTTTTTGAGTCCATGTGAATGCAAAAAGCTCAGAATGCATTAAATTAACTAGGGCATGATTTCTAGCATAGTTAATCAATACTAAAGTTTCAGTGTCCAAACAACTAGAGCCAAACATGAAAGCCCTGTGAGACACAACCTGAAACATCTGGAATCTCTTTTGTATTTAGAGAACAAATCATTCCCAGGAGAACTCAAGAACTACCTCTGATGCTTGTTCTTGTAGGGCCTGTTGCATTACTCTTGCCTAACACTCACTTAAAGTTTTTTTCAATCGCTAACAAGCGCCTACCCATACTTCAGATACTTTTTCTAAACTCTTAACACAGACTCACACCTACAAAAACACAATTGGCCAAATGGATAATTTCCTTCTCAAAAATACATTTTGTTAAATATATACTACCTCTTCATTTCAAAATAGAACACATCTTTCTCTGCACACACTAACTGTACAAAAACACTATAAATCTGACTCAAAATGAAATTAGTCTGTCAAAGAATAACACTTGTTTTCACTCCACAAGGTACATGCAGTCAATCAAAGTACACCAGGTTTCAAAATACTGGCTATTATTGACATTACAAAAACTGCATAGACTTTTATGTTTCAGTTTTACAGGTATTTGCATGCGAAACATGCAATCCACCATTTTGACACCAGAAATGTCTTGGTTGGTAACTGTATGTCCACATGTACAGTAATGTTCACATTCAAAAGCATTCCAGTAAAAAGCAAACAAGTTTTTGTTTCTTTACTGTTTACTACAGGAGGTACAGTAGAAACACGGTATGATAGGACAGAGAAAGTTTTACAGTATTGCTTACAGTGAACAAAATATCCATGAAACACACAAGAGCATTCTGAACAAAAAAACAACAGCAAAAAGCCAAGATAAAAAGGGGGGAGGGGGAGGGGGGCTAAAAAAAGGCAAAAAATTGGCATCTAATCTCTGCGATCTTCAGGGTTAGGCCACATGTTTTCACCAACATCACATCTGATGTTATCCAAGTCGATACACCTGGGATAAAACCGCCTGGTATGTCGGATCCACCCTTGGCAATCGTCAACTGTGATGTCCCTGGAGCCGGCATCCATGGCTTCAAGGAGGGACATCTGGTCATGTGGCTGATGGTCATAAACCTTCCACCTCCATGCAGAAAAGAACTCCTCTATGGGGTTGAGGAAAGGTGAATAGGGTGGAAGGAAGAGACTTACCAGTCTTGGGTGGACTTCAAACCATGTTGTTATTGCTTGCAAGTGATGGAAAGCCACATTGTCCCAGGTAATTACAAAGGTCCTCATGTTTTCACCCTCCTGACCCTGCTCTGGAACCAGGCGCTGGTGGAGATCATTGAGAAAGGCAAGCAAGCGCTCTGTATTATAGGGTCCAACCTGACATCTGTGAAGGAGTAATCCTGCATTTGCAATTGCTGCACACATGGTAATGTTTGCCCTCTCTGTCCTGGCACATCAACTGTGGCCCTTTTTCCAATTACATTTCGTCCACGTCGACGCCTTTTGGCCAGATTGAATCCTGCCTCATCGATGTATATGAATTCATGAGGGGCCTGGTTGGCCTCCAATTCCATAACTCTCTGAAACAAAGTTTATGTAAGTCATGTTATTACTGTATACCATACTGTACTGTAACCTAGTATTGTGTAGGTTACCTACTTGCAAAGTGCAAAGCTTATAGAACTGGACATTGGATTGAATATACACTATACCTGGACATATTGTCGTCGTAGCTCCTTGACCCTCTCACTGTTCCTCTCAAAGGGAACAGTGTAGAGCTGCTTCATCCGCACTCTGTGTTTGGACAATGTCCGCGTAATGGTTGTGAGGCTGATTCTATCGATATTGTCAAATATCTCATGGTCCGCCACAATTCTAGTTTGAATTTCACGCAGTTTTATTGCATTATTTGCAGTAACCATTTCTACAATGGCAAGCTCCTGATCATTACTGAGGAGCTTTCCTCTTCCCCCAGAGGGTGGAAGACGTTGCATTCTTTAGAAAGACAAAAAATTCAACATATGCATTACTGTATGACCATATTGACATGTCAAGTGAGAATAGAAACAATCCATGTAAAATGCAATACTTACCTGTTGGTTTGTTGAAAGATGCGTATAATGGAGGCAACCGTTGACCGCCTCAAATTGGGCTGCACTCTTTCACCAGCCTCTCTTAGTGAAAGACCATGGTTGTTTACATGGTCAACGATAGTGGCACGAATTTCATCACTGACTACTGTTCTTGCAGCCCTTGGAATGCCACCACCACGCATTCTTACACCTCTACCTTGCCCTCTCCTTGGGCCTGCTCTTCTCCCTGGGCCCCTTGCTCTTACTCTTCCTCGACCAGACAATACAGTGTTTGTCTTTTTTTTGTTTCCAAAAACATCACTCCTCAAGGTCTTGCCTTATAAACCCCACTGAGTCTAAGCCAGAATGGAAGAAGCTGTGGTTGGCCCAATTTACCCAACATAAATAAGCTGTGTCTCAATTATTCAATTGTTTGTTTATTATCAGCTGAGATATATTTTTGATATTGATATTGTTTTTGTACTGATATCATTGCAGGGGCAGAGGTTTTTATACTGTATCTAAGGTTTGGAATATTGTTTTTGCTATTGTGGGATGTTGTGTGTTAACATTCATAGATACTACAAAAACAGTCCATAATTTTGTTGGGAGGTATAGCTTGTCTGTTAAGAAAATGTAAGCATTGTGGAAATGTGTTCACTGACTGCATATTGGGTGAACACGACATGAAATGTGTGAATGGTATGGCCACAACAGACCGATGCTGTGCTAATTGTGTTTAGAGTTTTGCAAATGTGACAACTGTTTGGACAAACGCTTGTTAGCGACTGAAAAAAACTGTAAGAATGCAAATTGCAACTTACGCTCAGCAACGATAAGTGGCGGATAGAAGAGGAAGTAGCCCACTAGTTCAGCTGACAGCTGACCAAGTAGATTTGAGGCAGCAGTGCCATTAAGAAAGCCAGTCCCATTCTTTAGAGTGTAGACCAGTGACACAGCAGGGGATCCTGCTGCCTGAGAGACACTCAGCATCTAGGAAAAACACAAAAGTCGAGGTCAGAAAAAGAACAAGGCATAGAGAAGTGTGGGTAATATGAGCAAAATGCTTAGGATTATACTGTATACTGTAATCTGCAAATTCTAAGAAATATTTTTCTAAATGACAGGGGAGGCACGGAAACAGTAACTGTCTTTAATGATAAATATCATCAAGAATCTCGACAGCAGAGAAATATGTATGTATAAATAAAAGAATTCAAAAATACAGTAGCTTTATCCATGCATAAACGGCAAATTAGTTTTAATATAGGGTGCACTTTAATGTGGCAGCACATTAAAATTAATATAACCAATGCCTCTCCCGCATAATTAAGTAGTTCTTGAAAAAAAGGCACAGCCTAATATGCTTAGGGACAATTTTGCTCAAACTGCACACAGTTTGCAGCCTTTTGTGGCTGCCACATCACATAAACCACATGGTGATACTGAAGTGTAACAGGGGACAAAATTAAGTTATTTATCATCAATATCTATCCTGACAGCATGCGGAACGCCTACGCAATTCCAGGACCAGAACACAAAGGTTCCCCCGCAGTACCTGAACAGAGAGTCTGCTGTTAGCGTTAAGCACTTTGGCCTGCGCTTCGGAAAAAACCTTCTCAAGCCTCTGTTCCATCATTTGAGAGAAGCGACAGGACCGAGGATCATCACCTACTCCCACAAACTGTAGCACTGCAACATAAAAACAACACAAACTGACAAACTGCATTCTGAAAATCAAAGAATTCTTCAAAAGCCTGTAAGAGTGTGTTTTGCTATCTTTGACAGTATATAACTATATTAGGAACATTTAGAATTTGACTTATTTGTGCTTATTTTATAAGTACCTACATGCCATATTGCCATTTCTGTCTCTGATGTGGTATCACAGAATTTCTTTTCACACTTCATACCCTTCCAGTGCACAGTCAAAGAAGGAACATATAACGGCAAGTCTCAAGCAGACTTATTTTTTTCTTTTCAACCTGACTGAGCACTGGCTGACCTGTTTTCAGCTGGAAGCCTGTGGCTGGGCTGGGTCTCCATAATGCAACTGGGAGGGGCAGGGCTGTTACCATGGGGAGGTACTGCCGCAGGTCTGCAATCAGCTTATCACGGCCATAGGATGCCAAGCCTTCCATCACTACAGACGGAGGGTAAACTATATCCCCTCCAGTCACGTGATAAGCCACTGTCATGTTGGGAGAACCAAATACAGTCTCCACCTAAGAAAGAAAAAGAAAAAGAGAGTTGGATGTCTTTGAGAAGCCATATTGCTTACATTTTACCATTAATTACAAAATGATTACCTCTACAAATCCATGATTAAAGAAGGTATTTTCAACATGTCTTCTCTGATGTGCTAAGTGTTATGAAAAAGTTTTGAGCCATACCTAGAGCCCAACTAGAGCAAAAGTTCTCCAGGCTTTCAAAATTTATTCAGACATTTTAGTCCAGTCATTATATCTAATAATTTTCAGAGGATTTCTTTTTTACTTAACACATACCTATGAATCATCCAAGAATAAAAAAGTGACCTAAACCATTGGATGAACCAGTGTTCTGTCTAGAAAACGACAACTTGGCAAAGAACCTATTTTAAATTGTGTCTCTAACCACAGCCTGTCACACACACACACACACACACAAAAACACAAATTGTTCTAGTTTCCTAATACAAATCTATAAAAACTACCAAATATTACATAGTTTGACAGGAATAAAATTCTGTTTTTGCACCAACAGAGTGATTTCCAAAGAGCTGCTAGCCAAAAACTCAACATATCTCAGCAGTGTCTACTTAAAATGTTGAGGAAACTGGACAAGTAGATGAAAAAAGAAGTGGCAGGCCAGTGAGCATATCTATATCAATATCAGAAAGTTATGTACTTAAGGAAAAGGCAAAAATCCAGATCTGTCACAGGACCTGAGAGATGCATCTGGCCCATCTATTTGATTCATCTACTGTTTGCCAAAGCCTGATTAGAAATGACCTCACTGGAAGGGTGACAGTCATTCATTCTTAATGAAGAAAAATGATCCCTTCTACACTTTTAATGAAACTTAAACATACAGTATATTAAGATAAAATAAATTCTGATTTCTGAAGAAGAAGAAAGCAAATATGCTAACCCACTAAATGTAGTCATAAAAAATACATAAAAATACATTACAAAATGAAAAATATCCAATGCCAAAAAAACAATATAAAAAGCAAAATAAAATTGTAGAGAGAAAAAAATCATCCAAACAATAAATTACAGGCTAGGAATAAAATGAATGAATGAATGTCTGCGTTTAGAACCTCCTTAAAGGTCTGAGTGGTTCCTTTCACATTCCTAAATCAGAATAAAAGATACTTTATTATAAGATGATGCAAATCACCATAAAGCTGTTATATGCAGCACTGCATACCAGTTTGCATCATTACCCACAATGCAACCACAAAAAGTAAAGTGACATCTCAAGTGGGCCTTTCAGATAGCCACTGCTTTTTGCCTTTTTATTCATCTTATTACAGAATGAAAATCACTTGCAGACAACGACTAGATGTCCAAGTCACTGGTGTGCTGCTTGTGGAGAAAAATATAATCAGAGGAATTTTGTTTCTAAAGGTCTCAAAGAACAACAATTTCTGTGTGTTGTATAGGGCCATTAACACATGTAGAATAAAGTTGTTCAAACATGGTGATTCATATGTTATGTCTGCTGACTTACTAGTAAGACAACTGAATAGAATAGCTTGTTAATGTCATCAGCCACACCTTTTACTTCTCCTGCTATAACAAATTGAAATTTCTACTGTAAAAAAAAACTAGAACGGTTTTTAAATTTATTTTAATGAATCTTACCATATAGTAAAAATCACTCAAATAGAAATTGCATACATGCTATGAAATCGTTCACAGTAAATCGGAAGATGCACTTGTTATCCAAGTCACTAATGAGAGCATCAGGAAGAGGAGAGAGTGATCGTGGAATACAGATATGTGGTGAGAACCATGAGGGCCTGAGGGGCTGCTGAGAAGAGAGACATGAGCGAGACTGTTAAATAGGTGAGTTTGGGACAAAGACGCTTATGTTCCTGCACCTCTAACACAAGAGGACTGGAATCAATACGTTCACGGATATAAATGCAAAATCTGTGTGTTTGGGAAATTGTGTCTCATTACAGAATAAAATTTATACAGTATGTGTTTGTCAGTTAGAGTTTGACTTCTTCGTGAACTCTGAGTACAGTGAAAGTGGAAAAGGGAATGATGGCAGATCTAGCGTGCGTGTATGAGAGGTGAAACCATTCAAATCCGTTATCTAAACCCATCTGAAAGCCTGTGCTGACAAGGAGATCCACTAGCCGAAACACTGAGAGCCTAGTCTCTGTAGCTGAGAGTCACCACTCTGCTTCCTCACAATTCAGCCTTGTTATGAGCTCTGTGAAAAGAGCCCTTTATTATCACTTCATCCTCTTGGGCTTCACCCATGTGAAGGTGTTATTAAGAGATTGCATTTCGAACACACACACACACTAACTCAGTCTCAAAGAGTGTGACAGACTGCAGCAGACCGAACAGATCCCACTATTGGCATTCAAAAACTCTCAAGTTGTGGCAGAATCCTAACTCCATGAAAGACACGGAAATAGTTCACTATTATTTTTTTAATGGTCTTAGTCCTGAGGTTCAGTTCATTTAGTCTATTTCTTGTGATCTTTTTAGCATCAGCTCAGCACATCACTCTCCTCCCAACCATTTATAACCTATAATTAAACACAGAAGCAATTTCCCCAGCCAACAGCTTGCCTCTCATTGGATGAGAAAGAAGTGCTACTAAAAGGAAACCAGGCAATGCTGAAATGGGTGACAGGAGTGCACTGAAGCAAGACACCTTCAGAGACTACAGAGAGCGAACATGTGAGAGCACTGACCTTCACATCGCCAGGACAAATACACAAGGCTCCCTCTCAAATATTTGATACTTCCAGATTGAGAAATACAACACAATAAGGCATTTCATTGAGCTACGCATACACAAACACACACACACACACACAGGTGCAGTTTACATTTCCTGGAGCAATGACTGTGACTGTGACAGTGCTATGAAGACAGATTTCTCTGTATTTACTTCCAGACCTCAAAAGACTGTTTTTATAACAAAATATATTGTTTGCATGTGCTTTATTCGTATATTCATATGTTTACCATCTTACTGACATCATCACAAGAGCAAGTCTTTGGTAGATCCTCACAAGTAAACATTTCTGTTCCTCGCTTGGTGTTTTTCTCACGCTTAAGTCACATTGAGTGAAGGTATTGGAGGCTTACTGCAAGGACAAGGTGGCTTTTGGCAGTGCAGGGACTATGACTGGTTCACAGCTAACCTATCCACACACAAAAAGATGATTGTGTGAAATATGGATGGGTTCTGCAGACACTCAGGTTGTGTCTTGTAAATATCTACAGCACCGATACAGTCCTAACATGCATCTTATTTTAATCCTGGTACACTTAGTCAAATATGTGACATCACTCTGTGCCTTCTGGGACACATTCAGTCAACCTAATTTCTATATTAGTCTTCATTTCTTTTCACACAGCCTACATGAGGGTCCTCGGTATGAGTGTGTAACACATGCTTATAAACCTCTGGTTTTCTGGAGAGTGCACAACCGGAAAACAATTCTTCAGTGTTAAAAATGTATTTATTTATTCAGTTATTGTCTAAGCTGAATAGTTTTTTAGGGTTCTTGAGGGTTCGAGCTATTTTTTTTTAAACCAAACCTCTGAAAAAGGGAATTTGACTCACATGAGCTCATGGCAAGCTCATAAGACATTAAAACCGTGTTAATGAAACAATCACAAGGTATCCACACCCTAGAAGATACCCGACTTTATCTTCTGTTCTTCTCTAAATAGGACTGTAATTTCCAGAAAAATAAATATTGTTTTTCTATTATTGTTAAACTGGTTGTTAAACTAGAGAAGAGAGACCATAAACGCATAATGAAAGCGTAACTTAAGTTGCAATTCAAGAGAAGCTGTAAAAAAAATACATTTGTTCAACCATATTTGAAGAAATCAAGTTATGTTATCCATCTATAAACATGAAAAAGATGTAGTTGTAGCACAATAAGCAATAACTGGTGAAAGTCTGACCTGTGCTTGGGCAGAGGTATCATTGAGAGCTTTCCTGAGGCCTTGACTTAGTCCCCTTCGCAGGTTTTGCCTCTGAATGCTGTCTAGCCTGTTTCTCCTCACATAGATGGAAACAACTAAGAGACAGACAAAAAGGACAAGACAGGACAGGCAACAGACAAAACAAGTCAGAGCAATAAATTAAAAAAAACATATCGTTATATTATTTTTCTCTAGGACTTCTCCAAAAAGTACTGTTTACCTGTTTTCACCCACATTCTCTCAGTGATGTTGCACTGCTGTGGTGGAGTCTCTGTGGTAGTGGTGAAAGGTGAGATGAAGACAGCCGTGACCCCCCTGGGAGGGCTCGTTCTTAGGACAGGCGGTGTGAATGTTCTCCTGTTGGACTGAGTCCTGACGGTTGTGGTTTTCCCGGTCGCGAACGTGGTCTGTGGTGTGGTAGTGGTGGTTGACTGCGTAGTGACTCTTAGGGAAGGCGTGGTAGTGGTGGAGTTTTTCGTTTTTGTGGTTGAAGCCGTAGTGGTGGAAAGCTTAACAGAGGCTGTCGTGGTGTCTTGTCGAGGGGTCAGAGGTGATACCTGAGTTGTCCTCTCGGTAGGCCCAGCAGAATGGGTAATTCTGACTGATTGAGAGGGGCTTAAACTAGCCTCTTTTTCTTTGGGGAAAGTGAGTCCAACTGTTTTGGAAGTTCCAGCGGTTAATTCATCCGTCTCTGCTTCTGTAAGAACAAATGTCTCAGTCACTACCGGTGAGCGATTAGAATCTAATAATGAGATCAAACTTGGTGATGATGATGGAAATGAAGATTGCTCAAGATTTAGAGAGACGGCTAACGATGCAGTGCCTTCATCCATGGTTGCTTTTCTTGTGGTGGGTCTTATGTATGAGAATGAAGATGGCGATGAAAATGATGATGATGATGATGATGATGATGATGATGGGTAAGAAGGGAAGGATGAAATCAGGTCAGCTGGGAAGGTTGATGCCTTCAGGATGGAATCAGTTGTCTTACTCTTGCTGTCAGTATCAGAGATACTATGCACAGGGCTATTTGAAAGTGTGACAGCAGAATCAAATGCAGATTCAAGAGAGGGAACAGCTGTCAGCGAGGGGCTGTTCCTGGTCTTATATATCAATTCAACATGAGCAGCTTGGGAAAATGCTGCAGAATCAGTAGTTATATGAGACAGGGGCAAAAAAACATCTTGCTCTACATTAAAAGCCACAGATGACCTAAAATTAGCTGGGGACAAGCTCCATTCCTTATAGTCGGAAGTTGCAAAAGATGGATAGTCACCAGTTGGATGAGCTGGATATGGATCACTGGCAACAGCTGTTGAATCAGCAGAATTCAGCATGTACGCATTACGCTCTTGTCCATCTTCCAGCTTTGGATTTTGAAATGAGGGACCAACTGTTGGTAAATTAGATTTTACCCTATCAAAGGTTATAGATGTGCTTTCTAATTTAAAGCCACTGCTTTCAAGAGCCATAGGCTTGGTGGTTTTCCAGTCTGTATATGGTGCCATTAGTTTTGTGCCCAAGCTGAAAATAGCACTCCATGTCTCCATGCTGTTTTGTCCATCACTGGAGGAAGTAGTTACAGCAGGGGAAACATCTGAGGGCATGTTCGTTTCTCTGTCCAGGTGAAAATTAGATTTATTGCTATTCACACTAGTGATTGGTCCCTGAGAGTGAGAAAAAGAGTTTGTTGTTTGTGTTAAGGTCATTTCGGACGGTTCATTATGACCCACCAATGTCACATTGTCTCTGTGAAAAACTCTCATAAGAGGTTCATCTGTTACTGGTAAAAAGGGGATTTCAGTAGAGATTTTTCCAGAACCTGCAGACCCTTTAGTCAGCATGAAAAAATCTGTTTTAGTCCCGAGAGATGGGAAGCGTGTTGCGAACACTGATGGAGTTTCTTTCTTGTAAAACACAGCATCACTGATCAGAGAAGATTCATTGTTTCCATTGAATACAGGAGAACCTTGCAATACTTTACTATTTTCTGCTCTTGTGTGGATCTCAGTCATGCCCTCTGATTTTATATGAGCAGAGGTTTCATCAGAGGACACCACTGTCTCTTCAGATTTTTTAGAAGTTAAACTAAGTGTATACAATTTATGGAAAAAATCAGGCAAAGGCCTTGTTTGAAGAGGTCTTTCTGAGGGAATTATTTGCGGTGATGAAACAGATTTGGGTTGGTTTGCAAAATATATCGCACTTCTGGAAGATAGCTCATCTATATTATTATAGTTCGGGTTGTACGTAGGCTGATTGAGGTGTGAATGGCTTCTGGTTTTATAAATTATGTCATTTGCAGATCCTGAAAGAGATTCTATCTTATTGCTAGAAAATAAAGTTTTTGAGGTTGTGTAATCTATGTACAAGTGAGTTATGCCCTTGGAAGACCCAGTTACAGATTCCTGAATATTTCTGGGTCTCAAATTTAACAAATCTGACTCCAGTGCAGACGATGTTGTTCCTGTTCTGGTGCTCAAACTGGGGATAGAACGAATAGTGGAATCAGGTTTCAGCTGTGTGAGTGAAAGTGAGTTATTCAGGTGAGCATGAGTGGAAACAGATCTGAGCTCTGCTGCCGTTATCTCTCCCTGGTTGTAAATTACATCAGTGGCAGGGACTCTGGGACTGCTGTGACCCGCTGCGATCAGTAAATCACCAGGATTAGATACATGCTCTGAGGACATCATGCCAGAGTGGCTACCTGTTAGCTTGGTGATTGCAGCTTCAGAGAGCGTCACTTTACCTGGTGGAGTCTCCAAGGAAACTGTAAAAAATGATTCACCTGGTGTGATCGCCATTACTGGTGACACAGTGGGAGTCCCAACATGTGAGCTGAGTGATGACATGACGGCATGACCTTCATGAATAAAAGTGTGACTTTCTCCTGCTGTCTTAACTTCCTCTTCCATGTATGCCGTTTGGTTTAGAAGCCACTGTGTGATATGACTAGAAATTGAGTAGCCTTTAGGATGGGCAGACAGCAGTGCTGATGTAGGATTTTGTGAAGCTCCCTGCTGCCTTTGAACAGTTTGACTCTCCAGTTTAGAGGGAAATGAGGCGTTCATTTCAAGATTATTGGCGGGTACAAAGTTCATACCTGGATTTTGCATTTGAGTAGGTCTGTACAAAATTTTTAAAAGATTTTGACTATAGTTAGGAGTAGAGTATAGTGTATATGTGCTGGTTGCTGGTGTCTGGATTTCTTTGGGTGTTGCAATTCTAGTGTATAATTCACTCACTGGGTAGATTCTGTCCACTGATGAATGTGTTGTTACTTTATTGCCTTTATCAATGCTGGTTTCACTTGAAGAGTGTGGCCGTTTGCTTGTTTTGCTTTGTCTCTCCTGTCTTACAGATTGCAGGTCAGCAAGTGACTGAGTGGTGGACTGCGGGAATGTTAAACTGTCTGACCAACCCTGAGACCTTGCTGATAACGCTGCTGTTTCTGTCTGAAGGGCTTTGTCTATCCACTCAGTGGAAGGTGACAGGAAAAATGAGGGCACGGAGGATGAAAGCACAGACAGTGTGGATGGAGATGGAGAAGACATTATTGGTGTCAACTCTGTTGATGATGGAAACAATGATACAATGTTGTTTCCGTTTGTGAAGGATACACGTGACAGCCTGGATACAGTGTAACCAGCAGTCTGAGGCGGTGTTGCGTGTTTTTGAGACATGCTAAAAGTCAAACCTGAGCTGGCTCCCACATGTGACGATGAGGAGGACATGTCTGAGCCCTGGCTGGAATTACGTGAAGGCCATTGGGTGGTATGGATCTCATCCCTGGTGATAGTTGGCAAGGTTCTACTTTGATCAAGGCTCACTGGATGTTTGACAGTTCCTGCCATCATGGTTAAGACAGAAGAAAAAGCAGGCTGCCCCGATAAGCCCTCCGCATCAGTGTCTGAGTGACTGTCTGAATGGACAACTGGGAAAGGCACCTCCTCAGCCACTGACAGGTCAGCCGATGGGTGAGCAGGAACGCCTGTGACTGCTGGGTCGCTCGGTAAAGGTGAGGAGCCTGAGGCATCGTAGGTGGATTTTTCTGTTATGAGGGCATAAGAGGGAAAGATGGTTCAGTAAGTTACAAACAAAACAGATTCTTGTTCTGCATACCCATGCACATCAGTAAATCAGCAACAAACAAATACACTGAGATTTCTACCGCAGTCATGGAGTTATGAATTCATCAAAGCTAACTTCTTAGAAGCCTTCAAGTTTGCAGTTAAAATGTTAATAAATCATTAATGAATTGATGTTGGTCCAGATGCTCTCCTGTTCTTTCTGCTGTCCAACAGTCAGTTGGAGATTAATTAATGAGCTATCGAAAAACATAAAGCAGGACAAGGTTAAAGGTAAAAGCAGTGGTACGGAATAACACATTTCTGAATTTTTAAGCCCTAGAACCTGTATGAAATGCCATGCTGATGCCCTGTCCTATTAAATGACAGTGTGAAAAATCAGACTGCCACTGCATTGTGCGTACTCATTCAGCCTGCATGTCAGCACAGTATTACTTTTCTGTAAACAAGACCGATGAGGCCATTACATAGAGACTGGTATGTCTCACTGTCACACAGGATCAAACAAAGCACATGTGCAAATGGATGTTGCTGTCAGGGGTAATTGTGATATTTTGGATAAGCTATCATTTAAAAAAAAGAAAAGAAATAATACTTTCAGTGTACAATCTCTTAAGATTGTGAGAATTATCACAAATACTACTTAGTTAGAGGAATTATAATGATAGGTTTCTAATAGTCTCAGACAATATACCAAGGGCAAACATGTATTCCCAAAATAGAGGAAAAGGCACAGTGTTCAAAGTGGAACAAATTGAATTACTCAAGAGATAGCAACCATGTTCTAAAGTATAGCAAAGATTATGGCACGCCTAAAAAATCACTTTGGACTTATTGTTACTGTGTTTTGTGCCTTTGCAGAAATTACATCTCAGTAAAAGAAAGAGAGAGGCAGCTGGAGAATATTAGCTATCATCAAGATGCTGGAGGTCATTAATGTGCTGAAGCTGAGCTGTTTCTCATCCGTTCCTGTCCCTACCACTTCTTTTATTCACGGCACATCGTCAACACATCCATACAGGGATTATTTTATCCATTTATGAAGCTTAGCATTCCTGTCACATCTTCCACCCCCTCAACATGCTTGCCTTGCTAAAGTTAATCTAACTAGCAAACCCCTTAGTGTCTGAGAGACATGGACAGAAGACGGAGTTCTGGGGACTGTTTTGACATACCCGAGTACTCAGAAAAGCAAAAAAGATACTCAAATAGCGTCAATGTTATTTTGCCAGATCTATTTTTCAATTTCATTTCTTTTAATAAATATATACTTGAGGATAGAATAAAATATAAGATAAGTGTCCAGCACATTCTGTGAGGCCTTTGAGTCTATTTCTTTTTTTTTGTACAACACATAACGATTAGCCTAAGGCGGTGTGTACTAACACAGCTGGGACTGAAAACACTTTTTTTCTATCAGTAGAATTACAGAATAAATGAGAACTGTAATAGAATTTAATACCCGTGCATTTAGCAAAAGTTCCAGGTTTATAACTGTGAATGTAGCCTTAAATGTCACCAATATCCCAGAGAACTGGCATAATGCTTTTTATAATTTGTTTTCAGAGAAGTAAATCACAGAATTTTATTATCTGCCAGTATTAGTTCCTTAAACACAGCCCCCTCATCCTGTATTTGTGATCCCACTTAATTCCTTTTCTCCAATAAATCTGTAACATGGTAAAATGTGATTAGTGAAACTGCTATACAGCAATTTTTAATCCATTCTTGAAATCCAGTGATACAAAAGAGTGGAAATAAGGTAATTGCTCTCATCTATTCACAAAGGAGTTTAACAAAATAAAGGATATCTGTCCTTCCTTAAGGCTACTAAAAGGTCAGAGATACTACCTTCCATTCTTCCATCCTATCCTCTACCCCCTATCCTCAATCCCACAGTTAGCAAGCCAACTTCTTTTGTTTCATGGGATGGATGCCAGTCCAAGTGAAGGTGTAAGTTCCACCTGTGGTTTGCCACCTGCTCCGATGGAGCTGAGCATATGGAAGGATTTTTAACAATGGACCACAGAGGACAATACTTGCAGATAAAAGCTGAGAGGAAATGTGAAAGTATAATAAAAAGGGTGGGCTATGAAAGTGTATATAGCAGTGGGAGAAGAAGAAAATGATGACATTTTAGGTCATTTGGAAGAAAAACTGTAACTGCCTTTAAGTCTACAGACTGTTCACACCATCAGGCATCTGTCTCAAAAAACAGAAAATATCAATCAATCAGTGTAAAAAATGAAGATTTGCATCTTGACCAAAACTAGAACAATTCAAATGGGTTATAAATGCAAAGCGGGTGTTTGATTGTTTAGGTTACTTAAGTAAAATGACACTGTATCGACAAAACAGGTTATGATTTTAACATTGTTGCAATTGAAAGACTAAAAATGATCCAGTTAAGATTAAAAAAAAGATGGAATGTGAACGTGTAAAAGACATCAATCATTAATTACATTTTGCAACAACTTCTTATTTTGGATGTCAGTCTGAAAGACACCAAGTACAGGTTTTGGAAATGTGTATAAGAATATACGCCACACACCTGCGATGATACCATGTGAATGGTGCAGCCATAAAAACACTGTGTTGGGTTTACTTATTTAGCTCAGTATCATGTAGTTTAAACAAAGAGCTGGAATTTTTTGAAATACACAGTATATGATTTGTGCAAGGGAATTATTAGGCAGTATAGAGTCAGTTTCTAAAAACATGAACTAATCATGGTTTAGTAACAGCATTAGAGCCTTCTGCAAGAAGTCAAAACTACAGACATGTGTGATAAATAAAATGTTTAACTATTAGTCAAAAGACAGCTAAACATACCTGACTTAGCTCTTAAACCTTTGACAAGCCACACGTTCAAACCACAGACATCAAATCCAGACTGAATTCTTTTCCTCTCTTCAGCCAACACTATCTTTGAGCTACCAGGACATAGACATGACACTGCTGGGCTCCTGGTGTTGCACTCATATAATACATTGCTTCCCCTTTTGCTTTAAGCTGTTTTTGTTCTCTTATGTGTAGAAAATGGTAAACAAGTGAGTGTAATTCAATAGTGAACTGGATGGAGGCCTGGGAGCATAGAAACCAATTTGAGAAGCCTGGCCAACTCCTGCCGAGGAAGTGCCTCTTACATTTTTGGCTGTCTATGACAGGAAACAGCATATAGAACTGCTCTGAGCTGTTGTTCTTTTTAAATTATAAAAAATGGATCTATTTCACATACTGTCGCTGTTTTTCTCTCTGTGGAGGTATCATGCTTGTGCAGGGCTGGAAGACGAGTAGAAGGAGCATTTGGCAGTGATGCCAAGCACTGCTGTGGTGGCAGTGTGGATGCGAGGGAGAATGTCACACACCCAGCTCTGTCTTTTTTTTTTTCATGGGGTGCAAACAGCGCAGCAGGATGATACATGCCTCATCTGTCTGGAACAGAACCCAGTGGACACTTAACTCTGCAGCCACGCAGAGATGCGTACAGTGTACTAAAAGAGATGTTCGTTCACTCAGTCATGAACTCGAACAAAGTCTTTATCGTTTGCTTTTGGTTCTTTTTTACTCTTTGTTGGTTTGGTCATTTAAAAATAGTTCAGGATAGACCCAAGTACCAAGAGTTGGTTTGTGTTGTGAATTTTGATTTAAATTATGTACCTTATTTAAACAATAACAAACATATTCTTCTATTTACTAGGGTAAAACAATACTTTTTTATACTAAAATTGTGAAAATGCAGTGGGTTCTTTTTTGCATGAGAAAGGTTGGTCAGAAAAAATTGATACTTGGATACTCATTAATGCAAAAAATTGTTGTCATATTATATATTAATTAGACACGCATTTGCATAGGAGCTCATTTCCAGTGCTGAGAAAAATGTTTGACATGCGTAAGTCTAAGTTTTGGATTATTATGTTGAAATTTCAGGTTATTGTCTCAAAATTTTGAGTTCGATATCTCAAAATTTTGACTTACTAACTTAATTAGGGTTAGGGTTTGACACTTACTAATTCAAAATGCTGAAAAAATAACCCAAAGTCAACAACAACAAAAAAACCCTTGAAAACTGAATTAAGTTGACATTTTTAGATAACCAGATTTTAAACTACCGATGGTTAAAAAAAGGTTTTTAGTGGCAGAAACAAGCTTCTATAAATTTACAACATTCATGCCCTGATGAACCCATCAAAGAGCGACTAGTCGTTCAATATCTTGCCCAAAGACTGGAGCAGACAGGGCTCAAACCACCAACCTTGCCATTAGCAGGTGACCTGCCCTACTTCCTGAGCTACAGCCACCCAGTTTTGTACATGCTGATTTTGTAGCCTTTTTGCCACATACCACACATAAAAAAAACAGATATAGCCACTGTCACCAACTGGGCCGCAGAATCTTGCTGTGAAGTCTCAATTTGAGCATCTCGGTTTGTAGAAACTAGGCATCATATGTGTGACTGACACTGCATGATCATTTGGTAGCTATTTGTCATTCACCAGGCAGGTAGCCATCCATTTAACACTAAATGTGACCACAGTTTACTAAATAAGTTACAGTCAAGTGTTAGGTATGATTTAAACTCCATAATTGAGACCATTAATTATTTTTAAAATGTATTCTACTACTTTGTTTAGCAACCAAAGAAGTCACCACTTGACTGACACCACCAGTTGAAAGGAATCTATTTTTAAGTGCAATAGTAATGTTCACTTAGTGCATCCATCCACCTATAGTGCTTTTTGCACTTTTTTGATTAATGTTTTTGCATAAATCTTATTTGTTTAGAAAAAATCCACTGGCCCAATCACTGTCCCTTTTTTCCACTGATGAAGTCCTCAGAGGAGAAAAACTATCTCCTGACAATGCCCTGACTCAGGAGAAGCTGAGCTCTCTCTAGCCACCTATTTTTTTTTCTATTTCCTCTCTTCTCCTTCTCTTCACTTCCTCTCTCTGTCCCTCCAGA